CACAGAAGGATTTTACTTTTAACTCCACATCTTTATTCAATTCAAATGGCCGATAATTTTTCTTTTAGATGAAATTCCCCTAATTACATATCAGATAGTGTTTTAAACTAAATAAGTTGAAATCTAGGCTTTTGACGTCATAACTATTCTAACAAAGGGAAGAAAGATGAGAAGCGCAGAAGCATAGATCTTAATAGCAGAGGAAGAGAAGAGCTTCTGACGCCAAATGGCGCGAAATTCTCTATTTATAAAAGCTGTTACGTAATAGGCTGGAATGTTCTCGAAAGTGCTGGTCTAAGGGGGATATTCTGAAATTGCAGAAAGTTAATTAAAGGTTGCTTGTTCGCATAGAACAAAGCCGTCCTATTTTTTATATTTTACATATATATGTATATATATAAACAAAAGTATCAGCTTTTGAAAACTCGCAAACTTAGTCCATTTTTCATTAGTTTCCTAAGTAACATCGGCAATTAGGATATTTGATCTAACGGCTAATGAACTGCAGAATGTTTTTTCATTTAAATATAGCTTTATTTTAAACAAACTTTGGCTGATATTTGCATAAGTTTGTTTCTTAAAATAATTCTCACCGTTAGATTACCAAATATTGTAACTTGGAAAAATATTTTTAATAGCTTAGGTACGGCATAAAATAAAGCAAAAACAAAATTGCTTGCAATAAATATACTATGCTTTGCATAGCTCACCACTCATTCGTATGATATGTAAAGCATTTTTTTATTTTAATTAGCCAGTTATTTTATGTTACGCATCTTTACTGCAATTTCTCTCTTTCTACCATCATTTCTTGTCATTTCTCCCTCCCTCCCAGAATGCAAATTTTAGTTTCTGCGTATATGAATGAGATAAAAAGAGTTGATATTTAAGGAGAGGTTTTAGATTACTTAGACATGCGTGTTGCGCTTGCTGAAGGCCCCGTTGCTAGTTCATATTAGCCGTCTGTCCTCGGCGTTGATTTATTCTTACCAACAGTGTTTTCTCGCTGATGTAGATTTGAGACAACTTGTGCGTTTATTATGTCTGTATATACTTTGGCTAACCTAAGACTTAGACATCGTTTAAATTTGAAATTCTATCTTTTGAGTTACGCCATTAATGCTGGCTTGTTTTGTAAGCACAAGAAGGACCTTCTGTTCAGTTATTTGAGCTATGAATAAAAGGGACTTGTACACTCTCCTTACGTTCTATTGTTTATCTAGACGTACCGGTCAGTCATTTACCTCTACACAAAAGTCCGACTTAACGGATGCTACCTAAGAGAGTGATACTATACAGATATACTGATTCTGTGCTGCACTTGAGTAATGAAATCCAGTTTTATGAATTTGCTATGTTCTTAATGATTCTGCGATTTAATTGTGATCCGCTGTATTTATCGTCCAAAATACTTCAAAACACAATATTTCAAATTAAATTTGATCTTTCTTTCAGACTTATGAACCAATTTATGGGAGTTATTTTAATGGTGTCAGTAAGGTATTAAAGAAATTTTATTTGTAAATGTTAAGCGGAATTCGTGAAATTATTTTTAAAACTAAAACATAAACTAAACACCCACCCTTCCGTACAAGCGGCACAACGTTGCCGCTTGTACGGAAGGGTGGGTGGAGTCTTGGGAACACAGCGCGACCAGTGCCAGTCGGCCCCGAGCTCCTGGAAAGCCACAGTGCCGGTTTCAGTGAAACCTTGTGTGAGTGTTCGGTCAAAATGGAGATGGAAAAAACTCTCTAGCAGCGATACGCGAAACGTTTTGCTTCAAACTTGAGAAAACGCCATCACTTTTAATCGGAGATTAAAAATCCCTCAAAGGGCAGCATTTGGGGATCCTGGTGAACATCAAGGCGGATAGATTATGTGCTAATGATTATTTCGTTGGTTGTGGTGGCAAACGTATATGTCACATGTTATGATAAACAGGAATATAGTGGCAACTTACCCCAGGACAAGATCCAGGTCTATAGCCCGCCGTTGACGAGAGAGTGACAAACGCGTGAAAACAGATTTAATTCTTGCTTTATTGGATACCTGACAATACTGAAAGAGATATTCCCCCCTTTTTTTTTTTTTTTTCTTGTAATCCGGTATGTCACATGACGATATGAGGCTTCCTCACTCAGAACAAAAAAAAAGATAGATCAATTCTTCCACACGAGCCCCTCGAAGACTTGGTGTATTTCAGCTCATACACATGCAGGTACTCTTCATCGGGATGCCGGGCGAAAATGCCAAGCCCGGGAAAAAGGAGATTAGCTTAAATTTTGCAGCTACAACATCAAAGAGAAAGAAACTCGCTTCTTTCATACATACTGGGAGACTAAAGAAAGCTTGCATGATAAACTCCTAAAAGTTTGCATTTTACCTCCACTCTTACTGTCTTTCTCTATGCAGCGTCTCCATCTCGCACCTTCACAATCTCCTCCTTCTCCTCCCTCCTGGTAGACAAAAAATACAGCCTTTTATAAAGTTCCACAGTTAAGTTTTGAACCCTTAATTGAAAAATTTGAATTTTGAACCCGCCCAATGAAAAAAGATCCAGCGTCAGAAGGCAACCAATCGCAAAATACTTTCAGCTACCCAGGCAAACAGATTGAAGACGCAAGTTGTCTGACGCAATACTTTCCTCCGCTTACAGCAGTTGTCTGATGCAGTGCTTTCCTCCGCTTACAACAGTTGTCTGATGAAACCTGTTCTTCACCGTACAACACAAGTTGGCGAACAAAATGAAACTGTCACCAAAGGAATCTGATGCAAATATCTAAATATTGCCATAACGTAGTAAATAATTAATTCAATGTGACCTCGTCACATATCCACACCCTGCTTCGGAAAAAAAAGGGTTAAAAAAAAAATTCCTGTGTGCACGAAGAACATTCCTAGTGTTAAGAGGAAGCCTCATATCAACACATGCCAATTCATGTGAAAATGCTGGTTAAAAATACATATATTACACGCAAATTGCTATTTACATAATAAATAAAAGTACTTAGTATACAAAAGGCCAGACAAATAACATAATCAGATGCGCTATAAACAAACATACAATTTTTAACATATTAAAACATGGAGAAATCACTTGGTTAAATTGCTGTTCGTTTAACACCAAAGTATATGGGTAATTGTGCAAAGAAGTCCAATTTTGTACTGTTGGCACAGATGATTAGAGTTCCAATTGATAGCTCTTCTGTGCATCACGCACAGTAATGGAAGCATTTTAAAAGTCCATGAAAAATATTCAGTAATGGAAGCATTCATTTTAAAAGTCCATGAAAATATTAGAGTTCCATAATATCAAAAAAGTGTCTATAAAGTTTAAAATAATTACCGTACTGAGTATTCAGGCACAGTCTCTAACATGTGTACTCAGTAATAAGTGATATAATCATTGCACATTCACATAATTTGTCCAAAATATTAAGAACTAGGGCACATAATTGATAATAAGTGTGCGTTAAATAACTACACAGTCCATAAAAATAGTCGAGATGTCAAACAATTTGAACATTGTTCATATAGTTCATAACCTACATTCTGTTCTATTTGCATAGAATTCAGCATTTAAGAGATATATGGATACACAAACACAGAAATATATATAAATAAAATTAACTTACAAGACATAAGACAGTTGTGGTGGTAAATGTATTAACAGTGAGTCCTCAAAGGCAGAGTAACAGAATATCATGCTATAGTAATTTATTAATACCATGTAATATAGTTTAACATATATCATTTCATGCTACTTGCAATGCAGTTAGATATTACCTACATTCTGAATTAGCACATAAAAGGGAGCAGCACAAACCCTTAGAATAAAGTTAATGTGCATCGAACCATTGGACCAAATTTAATATATCATGACATACAATACTTCTCATGCTATACAACAAACAAAATTCACATACCAAATTTTCATGCAAAACATGTTTCATGCTATAAATATGTAGTATAACACATACAGTTTCAAGATAAAAGTATGGCGTATAAAATATCTCAACACACCTCATGGTGACTAAAGATTAGAGAACCGTAAATAAGAAACTAATAAAATAAGAAAACATTCTTTATGATAAAGCAAAATTGCAATTTTTACATACTCCTAGTTACACTTAATAAATAGCATTTATGATGACAAAATATTATAATACAACTATAATCACATCATACAGAGAGATTTTGAAAAATAAAACACCTTTAATCATTTTAAAATATGTTAGGCACAATGTTGTTGAATCTATAATTGATATTTAAGGGTGATCAAGCCTTAAATCTAATGATTATGCCTGCACAATCATCATAAGAATTCAACAAAAGAGGCACAACAGAATAAATTTGTTACAATTAGATATAAACACACTACTTAACAATACATAACTTTTCATATATATCAACATTCTACAGTACAATACTATGTTAAGACGAGAAGAAAATTTAAATGTGCTGTCTGTTTCTTAGATTATAATGATGTGTAACTTGAGGAGCAGGAGGTGGATTTTGAACTAAATGAGAGAATTGTATAGGAGCCAAATGAAGGCGATTGATTTGAATCTTGAATGGTTGAGCAAACTCATTGTCAAGCACTCGAATAGTGTAGTTTACATCACTTGATTTTGAAACAACACAAAATGGTCCAGAAAGTCTGGGTTTAAATGTGTCCTTAGATTTCAGATACACTATGTCATCAATATTGAATGATCTTAATTTGGCATTTTTCAGTTGACGAGTATTTTGTTCTACTTGTTTCCGCTCTAGCGTCTCATAAGCATGTTCATAAGATAATTTCAGTTGTGTTAGAAGATCACACAAATAATGGGATTTATCCAATTGAGCTGGCCTTGGATCAGGATGGAATGTATAAAAAATTAAAGATAAGTTTCTTCCAAAGTGCAAAATAGTAAGAGAATAACCTGTTGAAGGATGAATAGTACCATTGAAATATTCTGATGGATTAACAATGCATTTTGAAATGAAACACCTTTTCATGAAGGGTGAGTAAAAAGTTTGAGTGAAGTATTAACTCGTTCACTTTGTGCATTGCATTCCGGTCTCTGAGGAGTACAGTGAGATAATTTTATACCTAATGATTTTGTAATTGATTCAAACACTAATGAAGTGAATTGTGTGCCCGAATCAGTCAAGATCATTTCCGGTCTTCCATGTAGAGATATATAATTTAATAAATGTCCTGTAATAGTTTCAGCAGTGAAATGTTTAAGTGGATATAAAGCAAGATGCTTAGAAAAATGATCTAAAACAGTAAAAACATAGCCACAATTCCTTATAGGACCAACAATATCCATGGAAATAAAGTCACTTGGGTACTTAGGTATTCTGATAGCTTTATATGATGCTTGTTTAGGTGTGAAAGACTTATATTTGTTGCATAAATGACACGAGAGGACAAAGTTCTGTGTGTCATTATACATGCCCTTTTAAAAGTAACGTTTCGATAAAATTTCATAAGTCTTTTGCACCCCAAGATGGAGATATATGGGAAATTTCTAACACTTTAGATTTCAATGTTTGTGGAACAACAATTAACTCAGCAATATTTTGTTTGTTTGAAATAAACATAAGAAGCTTGCTTGACTCATTAATAAAGAACTTATGTACCTTTGCAGCATTAAGCAAGGAAGGATTTTCCAAACTTGTGATAATTTCTGAAGTAAAAGGATCCGAACTTAGCTCAGCAAGAAACGTTCTCTCAGAAATTTCATGAGCAAGATCTCCAGAAGAAACCAGGGCATTCACTTTGGGGTCGTTTCAGATAGTTGTTTCAACAAACGGAAGAATAACTGAGTTATCTTCAGACGTTTCAGATAACACCTGGCTGATTATGATCCGGATCTTGCATACGTGACGTGTAATCAGCTAGAGAATTTAATTTTCCAGGAAATATTGCTTAAATTCAATAGTATATTCAAACACTTAGCTCCATAAGCCACCTAGTCGTGTTGTCAGCAGGTGAGGTAGATTTTTGATAATGCAACAGAGGTTTACTATCAGTCAAAATTGTAAACTTTCGATTATATAAATATGGTTTGAAGGCAGTAACAGACCGATAAATGGCATAAAGTTACAAATTGATGGCAGAGTATTTTCCTTTCAGATGGTGACAATGTTCGACTATAATATGACACAGGATGCAATTCCTTGTTGTGTTCCTGCAGAAGAATCCTGAAATAGCATGGCCACTGGCATCAATGTTCAGTATAAATTCCTTGTCCCATTGTGATAAGATAACAAAAGGTTCAGTTAAGAATATATGCTGAAGTTTCTCAAATGCAACGCTATGCTCATCAGTCCATTTAAATTTATTCTTCTTACTGGTCAATTGTGTCAAAATATCAGTAAGTTCGGCATAATTTGGTATGAGATGCCTATAGAAACCACAAAGGCCTAGAAATTTCTGACCTGTCGGACAGTCTTAGAGGTGGTTGAAAGTTAGTGATCTTAGCAATATTAGTTGAAATGGGTTTAATTAAGTTATGAGAGATGTGAAATCCTAAATAATCTATAGCTTTTGAAAAAGACACATTTTGTAGGAGACAGTGTTATGTTATACTTAGATAAAAGTTTCAATACTGCAGTCAACTTAGTCATCATATCATCAAAGTCAGAAGCCACCTATTACTATAACATCCTGATATGCGTGCACACCTACGATGCCGTTCCATTTTTAGTTCATCAATAAGCCTATCCACTAAAGCTTGAAAAGTACTGGCGGCAGTCTTTAAGCCAAAACCTAGCCTTCTATTAGCAAAGGATCCAAAAGGTGTAGTAAATGTTAACACATCCTGCAAGTGATTGGGAAGTTTAATTTGCCAATAAGCATTTTTTAAGTCAAGTACTGAATAGTACTTGTAAGTGGAAGATGTTGCTTATAAGCGTTGAAATCTTTGGAAGAGGATATGTTGAATGTTCAATATAAGAATTAAGCAATCATAAATCAAGAGCCATGCGATATTTGGGTTGGGTGGATTATAAGGGGATCTGGCTTCTTTTTTACTAACAGCATTGGACAAGCCCATTCAGCAACATTTCTATGAATTAAGCCAGCTTCCTGCAATTCCTGAAGATCTTCTTTTACTTGAGATTGCAATGAATAAGGAATTTCAAAAGGGAGGGTCCTAATGGAATTCGAAAACCTAAAACAAATTTGTCGGGTTATCCTATCAGTGCAGCCAAGTGATTTTAAAGATTTGGAAAAATCTGCATAATTAGACATTAACACATCTAATAAACACTGCCTTTGTTCAGGAGAAAGAGGGTCAGGATCAAAGTCAGTTGGTAACAATTCTTGTTTCCTTATTTTATAAAACCTCTTTTGATGGAGTTATGAGATTGCAATACTCATTTTGAGGAGTATCCGAATTTACAGAATCAGGTATAGTCTCAAGCAAATTCAATATCAGATGTGACTTGACCTAGCTTCTGATTTTTGTTTAATATGAACACTGTTCGAACCAATATTTTTTATGACAGTAATGAAGGAATTGTCGTTTAGAGTGTGGATCGCAGGATGCAATTCAATATCGTGTTTACTTACAGTTGGTTGAAAAAGGACAGGTTGATTGTTAGCATGAGGGCTATTGACTCTTAAGTGCGCAATTGTCGATTCTCCAGGATCTAACATAATTTTGTGTTTCAAAATTGCATAACATTCTGAAGGTAGAGGATTACAATTATAATTTTTTACATTAACCATATTAAGGAACAGCTTTAGTATAGCCCACCTTCAAAGTTTGGCGAATTTGGTTTGGCGCCAAAGCACATGAAATACGTTGTTTTGAAAAATGGTTGCCATCCAGATTTTCGACGAAACTCCGTGTTTAAAAAATGGCGGCCATCTTGATTTCCCAGAAATCGTGGATAATGGAAATAAGTTTACGACTATTATACACGATTTTAAGAGAAAGAAATATTAAGAAATGATTAATAAAAATGATTAAGGTTAAAGGATGTAATTTTAAAAAACAATACCGGAAACTTAGCATTTCACTTTTAATAAATAATTTGGTGTGACTCATAAGTTGGCTTGGTGTTCTCCATGCTACGCGTTATTTCTATTTTCTCTTTAAAAAATAATGAATGTTTATTATTTAAATTAACATCAAATTCTTTAATTTACATTTCTGAGCTTAGGCGTAAACTGAAATAGTATAATAAATTGTTATATTAAAATATCATGAACAGTAAGCAAATCTACCGGTTATTACAACGATAAGAACGTCGCAGTCTCATACGTGTATATCATACAGCTTCAGTATTTTCAAATATTTTTAAGCTTTAGCATTTAGAAAAAAAAAGTTTTTTTTTAATTAATATTGGAACATATCAATTTTATCATATTTACAAATAACGTTTTGCTAAGTACAAATAATCCCTTTATACCAGTAAGTAGACAATTTCATTATTTTCTAAAAAATTTAAACTTCACATTAATGAAACACAGGTTCTTAAATTCCTAAATCACATTATATTCTTGTAGGCAGGCATACTAGAATTCTACACATAAAAAAATAAAAAATTTATTTCTCGAATGAAAGAAAATATTAAGAAATAAATACTACAAATTAGGAACACTAAGCAATGCTTCCTCACAAAAGTGATGGGACACTTGTGCTTTACAAAAGGAAACTGTAGTAAAATAAATTTTAAAAAAACATGTACAAATTTTTTGTGGGTGTGTTTCATACTTCAATTTAATAACAATTATTACATAACATACATTTTCTCATTAATTTAATAAAAATACAATTGTTTAGAACGGAGCAAAAAATGGTTCACATAAGTGATGGGACACTTACTTTTTCATCAAATATTTATCCAAAAAGTTTACTTTATAAAAGGTTTTTCATATTTTGTTGGATTTCCTTTTACTTTTAAAACATGATTTAATCTTCTTGGGATGGATTCGACTAATTTTTTTGTGATTTCTGGAGTGATTTAACCCATTCTTCTTGAAGCACCGATTTTAATTGTTGTTTTGAAGAAATGGTGTTTGCGAAATTCTCCTGGGTTTATCCACCCAAGATTCTACCATCAGAATAAATTATTAAATTTACTCTCATCAGCAAATATAAACTTCATTCCAGTAATCAGAATTCTTATTTATGTTGGATTTTGCGAAAGCCAGTCTGAGGTTTCTATTCTTTTCACTACGAAGAATTTTTCCTGGCTGCTCTACCGTGATATCCAGCAGATCGAATTACTCTTCCAATAGTCTCAGGATTAACAATTACTCCATATAATGCTTGTAAATCAGCAGCATTCTTGGATTTCTTTTTAATATTTCGAACGATAATTCGCTTTATTCCATTGGATAGCTTTGATGGTCTTGAATCATATGATTCTTTTTATATCGTTTAATGATATTGAAAACTGTTGAATGACTCAGGTTAACTGTTTCAGCAGTTTCTCTAATAGAATTTACACGTTCAATATGCAAATTAATAACTAATTTTTGAATTTCAGGCAAAGTTTCTTATTTGTTTAGCATTCATGGCTGCACAGAGATAAAAAACACAAAAATTCCAAAACAAACTGGAGAGAAATACTGCAGACGATTTTATAAATTTTGCCAATGCTTTTGAGTAAAATAAAAACCGCCAAAAATATTTTATTGTTTAATTCAGACGATTTTGTTCATAGTACGTAGTAGTATCTAATGCTGTCCCATCACTTATGTGAACCATTTTTTCCCTTCTAAACAATTATATTTTTATTAAATTAATATTTGAGAAAATGTATGTTATGTAATAATTGTTACTAAATTTAAGTATGAAACACACCCACAAAAATTTTACATGATTTTTTAATTTATTTTATCACAGTTTCCTTTTGTAAAGCACAAGTGTTCCATCACTTTTGTGAGACACTGTATTATCAAAGAACTCATATTATCAAGTGCGATTACGATTGCAAACCCTACGTATGATAATAATGAGGTAAAAGTTACACAACGATCCGTATTCGCTCGAAAAACATCAAAGCTCGGTGTCCATGTACACATCCATCTACTTCCACCTTAAAAATATCAGAGAATTGCACAACCTCGGCATTGCGCACTACCTTGGCTCTGCCCATGTACACATCGATCTATTTTCACTTAAAAAAACATCCTTTAGCCCATGTACACATCGATCTATTTTTACTTAAAAAAACATCCTAGAATTGCACAAACTAGGCACCGCGCACTACATGGCTTTGCCCATGTACACATCGATCTATTTTCACTAAAAAAATCCTAGAATTGCACAAACTAGGCAACGCGCACAACCTCGGCATGCGCAATACATTGGCTCTGCCCATGTACACATCGATCTATTTCACTTTAAAAACATCCTAGAATTGTAAAACTAGGCACCGCGCACAACCTCGGCATTGCGCAATACATTGGTGGCCCATTGTACACATCGATCTA